CTAAGTTTGGCCTCTAGTTAATTATTTGTGACTGAGAGGGAATAGTGCACATTCTATTCTTCATGTCCATCTTCTCTTGAGCTAATTTGGGTATTCAGTGCCCAGATGCTAAGAATTCCCATGTTTCCTTTCCTTTCTATGGAAGGAAAAGTTCCCCAATCTTTAACTGACCTTTTCTGTTAGTGCTGTGCTGAAAATCCTTCCCACATTTCCCCAAACACTCTCATTCCATAGAAAAGAAATTGCTTTTGAAAAGTAGCACAAAATACCAGAAACAAAAGACAAAGAAGCTGGGGTACAACCTCAACCAACAGTAGCCTCACCTATGAGAGACTGCACAGAATTTATCCTCCCCTGGGAAATATATTTCCCCATTTCTTTGTCCACAATAAGATGGACAATTCTGATCTGCTATTTTTTGTCCTTTTGCCAGTACTTCTCAAAGTGGACAACCAAAACTGAACAACATGCTCTAACGCTGACCATTACAGCCACAATAAAAGTTATGATCCTTGTTGTTTTTTGACCCTCTCCTGCCAATTTATACCAGTTTTTTTTTCTTTGTTCATGCAACTAATCAAACAGATGTTTTTGGAAGGGTCTGTAAAAGTAGAAATTGAGGTTCAGAAGAACAAATTGGAGATGTCCCCCAAGAACAAACCTTTTCCTACAAAAATGAAAACCAAAACTAGCAATTGTCTTTAAACACTGGAGGCTATTTTGCTCTTGAGATGCAGGGCGTGTGCATAGGCCAACCCTAACAGGCCATTTCCAGCGTGATTAAGGATAACTGCAGCCTTGCTGGGGAACAGGAGGAAGGAACAGGGCTCACCTGCCCACATCAAAGAGGCAGCCATTAGGCAAGCCCTGCCACTGGCTGACCCTGCCATGAGATCCCCCCACCAATCTTTTTGATCTCTCCTTAAACCAGCAGGAGAAAGACAGCAGTCAACACCTGCTGATGGGTATTAGGCTTGGAGAAACAGCTTTTGAAGAAATCATTTCTTCTGATCCTCTCTGGCAACAGCAGGTCACAACAATTTGGGTGGAGCAAAGGGTTGTGGGAGCCTGGCTGATGTTATTTTGTTTTCTATTCTACAAGGCTCTGGCAAAGACTAGCTTGCTATTCTTCACAAGCAACTCCAAACAGAATGCAAAAACTGTTCAGAAGCCACAGCTCATGCAGAATGCTAGCATAAGCTTGCTGAAATGCCTTGCCATCTGATCACCAAAAAATCAATTTTCCAGTGCATTGGTCTTTCTTCAGATTGCATTAAGGAAGCCATGTGGTGCTTCATAAAGCTAAATTTCAGAAAAAGCTAATCAGAAAATTCAGAATGTGGATGGATGAGATCTCATCTGCACCAGGGAATATTTGATTTTGGTTTCAGAGCCTTTGACAACTAAATTATTGAGAAAACACTGAGATGTTTTTGACCTTTGCTTGAGAAAACAAATAATGTCAAATCAATAACTGTCTCGCAAGATGCCTAGTATCATAAATGCAAAAAGATACAGGGCAAGGCTTGTACAGTCAAATTAGCACACATGGAACATGCCACATCCTACTGCAGAGCGTGCGCCTGGACTGACACAACACATAAACCCCAGTGCCTTCATGTGTTGTCCAAGCCCAGCACACTTACCACCAGAGGACAGAAAGTACCAGGTGATGTGCTAGCTGTTTCGTAGACAGCCTTGCAAATGTCTGTGGGCGAGAGTGCTGCTAAAGCCCTTGCGTGTCTTGTGCTGGCTAAGGCCTTCAGCAGAAGGCCATGATGATTGCAACCACAGCTCTTTCCCCGTCTCAGTTTGGGTATCACAAAAGTGATCAAAAGCCTCCACATTTACACTTTCTAGCTCTTCCGGCTGGGCTGCCAGGTCCTTCTTCACAGAATGACTGGGTCTGGGATGAGCCCTCTCCCCTACGAAGGCCAAAAGGCTTGACATGAGGCACTAGTTAGGCCAAGGGGTACTAGGCCTCAGGCAAACAGTCATTCCTCCTGCTTCCCGGGCCTTAGCCGCAGGGTCCTGTAAAGAACACGCTGGCCCCTTCCGACACTAAAGCAGGGCTTGAGCGGCCATTCTTGTGCCTAGCCCAGCCTCAGAACAGGCTAATCACTCTGTAACCCTTCCGTTGACTCATGAGGTGCGTGCTATCCATGACATTGTTGCAGCTTAAGTTCTCTCACTGAACATCAGGTTTTTTTTCTTATTATTTCAATTGCACATTTTTCCACCAGTTGCACAATTTTGCTACTCAGTGGTTGCAGCTTTGCCACTCTAGTAACTTCTCAGTTGGACCGTTGTAACTTGTTCTACATGGGGCTGCCCTTGAAGACAGTCCAGAAACTTCAACTGGTTCAGAAGAGGGTGGCCTGTTTGTTAACAAGAACTGGCTTGCATGCCCATATTATGCCAATTCTTTACCAACTACATTGGCTACCAGTTGAGGGCCAGGCCCAATTAAAAGTGCTTGTTTTGACATATAAAGACCTAATTAGCTTGGGACCAGGAAAGACCATCTACTTCCACATGTTCCTACCTGACCATTAAGATCAGCCACAGAGGTCCTTCTCAGGAAATTGCCTCGCAAAGAGCTGAAGTGGGTGGCAAATAGAAGGGCCATCTCGGGGGTTGTACCCCACTTATGGAATATGCTCCCAAGGGAAGTACACCTGGTGCCTTCATTTTTCTTATCAGACATTTTAAGAACAGTTGAATTAGCATTTTATAAGAAATTTTGGTGCTTATTTTATCACTGCTGTACTTGAGGTTATTTTGACTGGTGTAGCTTTCTGTTGGGCATATTGTATGTTATCTTGTGGATTTTCATTGTATTTTATTGTATGAATTTTATGTTTGCTTTTTATTGTGATATATTGTACAGTGTCCAGAGAGGCCTGGAGGGCTATGGGAGTGGTTTATAAATGTAAAAATAAATAAATAAAATAATTCCTCTGATAAAAGCCTGGACTTGGGGCTCTCCTGATCAAGTCTCTCTCCTCCTGGCACTGCCTGGAAGTGCATAGTTTCAATTCAGAAGAAATTAGTGACAGAAGACATCACTCAAAATTGCCTAAAACAAAGGAATATGTGGAACAAAATAATCAGGGATAATGCCTGGTATACCATCTTCACCAGGCAGTTTGAGAAGGCATTTAGCTAAGGATTTCTGAGTCTCTCTACATGTGTGTTGAGTGGTGCACAGAGATTTGGGAATTTTTAGTAAAGTTTCCTTTTAAAATTTTCATTTATTCATTTTGAAGAATGTTGGATTACTTCTTCATGAGTGACTTTTCCATCAACATAGAATAAAAACACAAAGATTAAAATACAAAAAATTAAACATACCAAAACTATTTTAAAACGAATGATTAAATACCACAAAGGTTGCCAGGTACTCAAAAGATCTGGTGGACAGGCGCATAGCATAAGTGCACATATCTACATATCAACACATGTGTGTCCAACACCTCACAAAAGTATACACCCACCTTGGACTTTTCCACATGTTGTTGTGTTATAACCTGGCATTAATATTGTTTCAATTGGCACTGGTACCACCTGATGTACACAAGATATTCAACACTGTGAAGGGGCAAAATACCTTTATTGTGGCACAAAACTAAACAAAACCAACTGGTGCTTGTTGGTTGCTCAAATATTCACCCCCTTTGCTGTGACATGGCTAAATATGCTCCAGTGCAACCCACATACTCCAGAACTCAAATACTGTGATCCACAGCTCAGATGGGAGATACTATCTATGGGACAACTATAACTTGGATGACCTAAAGCTGGGCATCACAGAAGAGTAGTGAGAAGAAAGCTACTGCTGAAAGAATCACGTATCGAGGCCTGTTTGGGGTTGCAGCAAACCGATGGAAAAAACTTCTCTGGTCTGGTTAAGAGCAAAATGGGATTTTCTGGCCCTGCTGCACAATGCTGTGTGTGGTGCGAAGCCAACATTGCTCACTGGCACCATGCTTCTGGGATACTTTCCCTTGGCAGGGACTGGGACACTGCTCAGTACTGAGCATAAGAGCCATACAGGGCAATTCCAGAGGAAAACCAGTTTTCCAGCAGAACAATAATCCTAAAAACACAGCCAAAGCAACACTGGATCAGCTGGAAAGCAAGAACTGGAATGTCTCGGAATAGCCCCATCGGAGCCCAGACCCCTATCCAATTGGGAATCTTCGACCAGACTTGTAAATGGCTGTTCCGCAACAGTCCCTACTTAGCCTGACAGAGACGGAGCACTCTTGCCAGGAAGAACGGACATGTACTGCAGGATCCAGAGGCGCAAAGCTGACGGAGACTGACCCAAGAAGACTCACAGCTGTAATTGCTGCCAAAGGTGCTTCTTGCCAGGAGGGAGGTGGGCGTTGAATAGTTATGCCACCAACAAGTTTGTTTTTGAAATGTGTGGAGTTAATGGAATCCTTTGCTGTTATGAACTCATTAGGCTTCCGTGAAACCCAAACGTTCCAGTTTGAGGAACTATATAATCAGTCACTGTGAAAAACAGGTTTTGACCAGGGACTGTCTCTGTCTTTCCACCCTCTCTTCCTCTTCAACTGACATTGCAAGCAAGCAGGAGAAGGTGGGGGGATGACAAGCAGGACATATAAGGAAAGGTGGCACTACTCTAATTTGATTTTAGAAAATCTTACTGCCTTCATGCTGCAGCCTTATTGGTATGCCAAGGGAGCGAGCCCTAAGGTCTCTTAGTCACTGCAAGAGCACTGAGCACAAAGGGAGGAAGCAGGCTTGTATGAAGGCACTGGATGCTATTGGGGTATCTCCGAAAGATCCAGGGCACGTGCCCTGGGATGATACTGCACAACAGGTCTCATGTGGCCTGGCTGAAATACTTTTGCAATCATTTGTTGCAATCTGGTCACCAGAACTGCAGCTGCTATTTTAATATCTACGTTGGTTGATGAAACAGGAAAATAGTTGGCACAACAGGTTGCCAGGCTTAGCAATCCCAGTGATATAAACATAATTTAATAATGATAAGAGAATCTGATTCAAAACATTAAATACAAAGTAAAATTCAAATATCCCACATGGAGCTCACTTTCCTTACCAAAGAAGAATCCCCCAAAGTTAAGGCACTTGATATTATTGGAGCATGTCAGAAAGATCCAGGGCACATACCCTGGTGTGCCTCTCTCTACTTACATTCATGAAAACCAGCTATGCTAAGGACTGGATAAGGCGTGTCTGGAATGAACTGTACTCAAGAGGGAAAACCAAGCGAGGGCAGGGACTGTAGTGGGAAAGTGTTAATCATGATACACCCCTTGAAATAGTGTCATTAAGAGCCCCGTAAAGAAAAATGAGACCTTATGAAATTAAAGAGATTTCAGAACTCAATTTACAGACTCATTACATATATTGCATATGTGATTTTTGGTTTTTGGCATCATACAGACCTCACACATCAAAATTCCTTTTGCAAGGTACAAAAACACATTCACAAAGAGTGGAACTGATGTTATGCCAGTAAGCAAAATCGTTGAACTGAATGATGCAATCAGCATGGGAGCCTATGCTCATGAAAGTGAAGTTGTTGCAGCCTTTCTTTTTTGAATTCTGCCTTGCTGTCCTCTTACAGATTTCCACCTGTTAAAAACACTTCCTGGCTGTACAGCTCACAGACATATGGCTCACATCCACACCCAGCACTTCAGGCTCTTCAGCCAAGGGATGTGCAGCATGGACACACTTCTTTGTCGTTTGGGTACTTCGCCAATCTAAGAAAGAAGGAATTTGACTACCCAAACCAAAATGCAATTATTGGAAGGAAACACTGTTGGGTTGTACTGGGCTGACATCCTAGCAGGTATGTTCAAGATCAGCGGTCCAGTCCACCTCAGGGTTAGGGTTAGTCCATCTCAGGCAACACTGAATGTTACCTACATCTCTCCAAGATCAGCTGTCAGCTGAACACAATTCTCAATGTTACCTCTGACTTTAGAAATATAGTGGGGCAATGCATACTGCTTTCCTGCTTCCGAAAGACTTTAAGGGCACACATATACAAAGATGGATGCATAATTGTTAGTACTTTATTCTGGGAAGGAGCAGCATATGGCCCTCCAGAGGTTTTGGACTATGCTGGTAAGGGATCACTGAAGTTTTAGGCCAACATATCTGGAGGGTCACAAGGAGCCCACACCAGTTCTATCCAGCTGGTCTTCATTCAACTCAGTTCAAAGAGTTTGAATTGACTCTTTGGTCCATTCACACTTACAGGGACAATAGGAAAGCAGTACGTACTATACACCCTACTCCACACTGTGCCAGTGCATGCCACAAATTTTCAGCTGCCACCCTGGCTGCCCTGAAGGCATCAGAGTGGCAGCACAGGCATGGGTTGTACAAATGCACAACAGCTGTACCTCAAGTTAGCTTCATTTATACAATGCAGACTTGGCGCCATATCCTTCCTCCGATACATGCATTTAGTGGCAGGTGCTTTTCACAGAATCCATATCAATTTAGTCTTTCAACACGAGAGCACTGGCACACACAGACCAACCCCCTTGAAGACGGTGCATTACCCTTTATAGAGGTACCAAGGAAAACAAAAAGCCGTACCCCAGTGTAACTGCTCTCTTTCAGCAATCCGCTACTTTGCCTTGATGTTCCACACTTTTCTGAAGTGGGAACCACCTACTAGAAAGTAATCAATTAAATTGTGTATGCTTCTCAAAGAAATACCATTAAAAGACAACCCCACCCCCACCCCAGGAATAAAACAACTTTTAAGAAAAAGATATACTCATCATTTTCATTGATAGAGAGTGGCGTATCTGCAAGGACAAATGGTCAAACAAAATTTAACTTCCAAAAACAGCCACTCCTTCCCCTCTCTGTTGGAGCCAAATGCCTGCAATCCCAAGAGCCCCCCTCACTGGGCAAGGACACCTGACCGCATGCTTCAAGGCATCTCGGTCTCACCCTAATGAAAACCACAGCTATACTGGCAATTATTCCAGAAGTTGCTCCCAAGTTTCAGGAACAGCTTGACAAGTGGCAAAAGGACTGTTAGGAGAGGCCCACCATAAGATGTTCTCCTTGCAGGACAGCCAAACCCTTAAAACAATGAACAAACAAGAACACACGGGGCAAGAGGAAAATGAGAGGAGGGTCAACCAGACCTCCAGGGAGCCAATTAAGTGGGGCAGCCCAGTCCATGAGCTACCGCGTTACCTCCATGGACAGCCTCGCTAGCAGCAGCAACTTTGCATTAGGCAATGATTCTCTCCTCCCGCTCCCACTCCTGCTCCCCCAGTCCAGAATAAAATCGTTGATTTGTTCTGTTGGAAATTTCTTCATAGATTGATGGGCTTATCTAGAAGCGGTGGGGGTCACACCCGCTGCCGATACCTCAGGAAGGCCCATACTAAAGTTGCAGCGATGGCCAACCCTGGCACCAAAATCATAGCCAAGGGGATGGCTCCAGGCTCTCCGTCTCCTCGGTGGCTTGAAGGACCATTCTGGGGCGGCAGCTGTAAAATGGACAAAAAGCAATGATAGGGCTGAGTCAGAGAATCCAGCAGCAGCAATTGCTAGGAACAAATGCTTTGCAAAACAAGCATGACCAACACAGCAAGACAGGAAACAGACTGAGACTGAACCAGACAGCTGCTCCGTCTAACCCTGTACTGCTGAGCTGGACTTCCCCACTGGGGCTAGGAAAGGCTCCTGCCTGACACCCTGGAAAGCCACTGCCAGGGATGGAACCCAGAACCTTCTGCATGCAAAATATGTGCTCTGTCCGAGTCACAGCCCACCCTGTGCTTGGGTCTGATAGGAATTGCAGTCCAAGTGGAGGATGTCCAGCTGGAGAGTCTGCTCCAAGTCAAGGATGCAGAATTTAACAAAACTTAAAGCCTTGTGTACATGTTACATTTTAATGAGATTTGCTTCCAAGACCAGAGCCTGTGTGCCTACATATATCACTTGCTGGGGATCATGGACAACATACATCTGGCTTCTGGGATCCCACGAGCGGTTGCTTGGCCTCTTGTCAGCAAAATGATGGGCTAGATGGACCTTTAATCAGATCCAGTATGGGTTGTTTGTCTTTTAAAAATCTTTTAAAATAATTTTTATTTTTCCAACATATACAATTACATAGAAAAAGAATACAGAATAAAGAAAAAACTAACATAAACAAAACAGAGTAAAGTGAACAAAATAAACAAAATCTTTATATATGCTTCCTACATCATATACATTCACTTTATGCTTGCGCAAACTGTTATGTGTCTGCTGCCTCTACCATATTGCCTCTCAACTTTGCTCATCAAGCACCTTTTCAAAGAAGCCTTTCTTATACCACCCTGACCAACCTTCGTCATTGGCAATCGCACCAAAGCCTGAATACATATAAATGTTTGGGCTCAAAATCATTTAATTCTATCAATCTTTTTTCAATGTGCTGTCAGACTTTACATCAGAAGGTGCTTAGGACAAAATCCTGGGCCTCTTTATTGCTGGGAAGTTTTTTCCTTGGTAAAGACATACATGAGTCCATTTTGGTTTGGCAATCTCACATAGAAATGCCACAGCGGGGTTGTGTCAGCACAGTTTGTCAAGCCATATAAACTCAGTAGAGTATTTTGAGCATCGTTTCTCAAACAGAGTTCCCAAGCAACTGTGGGAACTCATGGCTTGTTGCTGGCTTGCCAAGGGTGGCTTGTTTTCAGAGTAGTTTCCTGTGATGTGTGAACCCAGCAAAGTGGTTTATTCATGGCTTGTTGAAAAGGACTACAGAGTCACCTGGTAAGCGTGGTGAAAAACCTGGTCACTTCTTGCAGTCTTGCTGTAATGACTCCCTAATCACAAGCAATCACACTTGTCAGTTTACACTTTAGGACCAACTTCCTAGCCAGTTACTCTTCTTTCTTCTTTTAACTTGTTTATTAATTTTAATTATTATAACATTTGAACACATGAAAAAAGGAAAAAGTATTAACAACATGGCTACACAGATTTGAATATATCACGTTTAATACATTTATATGTAAAATATAGCTTTCTTATGCAGAAATGTCAACAAAAGCAGACCAAATGTCCAAGTAAGAATCCATTCATAGGTGGTGTCTATATACTACCTGTTCAAAAGTTGAAAGCATTACAAGGTCTTCAGTCCACTGCTTTACAGGAGGTCATATGCTGTAATGTCAGTCTTTTTGTGAAAGGCCTGAGGAGAATCCATTTGCTCTGACTATGCATTAACTTCCAGGAAGCAGGTAAATAATTTAAAAGATTGTGAACAATATGAAGGGGTATTCTAAATTTATCCATGTAAACACCTCCCCAAAGGAGCAACCACTGGGTATTGCCCAAACCTAGACATAAAAGTAGCTTCAGCTGCATTAGAGTACCAACCATTAGCCAGCTTAGACAAACCCCTATTAAAGAGGCATTACGGCATCCTATTGACGAAAAGGCTTTTGTTGAGTAAGACAGAGCTTGAGACCCAGAGATGCATCAGATACAGATGCCCACTGACTATGCAAAATGAGAGAATGCATGTCCCTCTGCCATTACCACTGAAGACCCAGTATATCGACTTCATTCACCAATGATAACTATTTATAGCCACGCATTGCAGGTTGGTTTGCCTGATAAGGCTCAGTAAGTGCTCCCAGTAGTAAGGAAGATGCTGAAGCCCTACAGGCAGCTAAGTCAAACCGAGAGACTAAAAAAAGTTCCAGCTGCAAGAACTGCTATCATTCACAACAGGCAAATTGTATTTAGCATGGAAAATAATAGTTTCTTTTTATTTAACTTGTCCCTAAACTCAGCTTTAAAGATGCCCATCTATAAAACCCCAAGAGATCACATTACTCATTTTATGCAAATGAAGCTTTGAGATATGCCTCTAAGAATAAGAATTTCCAAATAAGTAAAAACTTCCAGGCCCCATGAAAACTGCCAGTCTGTTAATAAGCTACAAAATGTGGTATTTCCAATCAGCATCAATTCATATTTTGTCTAATTAATTTAAGAGTCAGACAAAGTATCAGAGGTATTCATCTCCTGGATCAAAGCTAGGACATGCGGCAGGAATTCCAAGATAAAGAAGAGAAGATCATCAGCATAAAAAATAACTTTACATTTTAAGCTATCAGCACAAAGCCATGAATGCTGCTATTCCGTGTAATGGTGCAGGGTTAATGGCACAGGTTCCAAACATAAATCAAATATCAAAAGGGAAAAAGAACAACCCTGGCTGAAATTGCCCCTAAGTTTAAAGGAAGTTGCAAAAAGATGATTGGACCCAACTCTAGCCATTGGGGTGCAGCAAAATTCTACAGAAAAAAAGCAATTTACTCAGTGTAGCATAAATAAATTTCCAACAAATTAACTGAAGACCATTTCAGCATCAACAAATAATGACAACCTGGTTTGTTCTATCAGTGTTTACTGTTGTAAGATTAATGTCAAATCTAAATTATCAGCCCTGTCTATGTTTAATAAAGCCCACTTTATCTACTCAAACCATCTATCAACCAAAATAATAGTTAATATTTCAAAATAATTTTAATAAGTAAGATGGGAAACATTTTAGTATAATAAATATGATCCTTGCCAGGTTATGAAGCACAGTGGGAAACATCATTTAACAAAAAAGAGTCTGATTTAAAGATATAATTGGAAAAATAATGAAGTTTTGGAACTAACAGTTGGAAAATATTTTATACCATTCAAGTGGCAACTCATCTAGACCAGATGATTGCCTGGTATTTGAATGCCTAATGGCTTTGTAATTTCCTCAACACACAAAGGCACTGAAAGAAATTGCTATTGCGAAGAATCTTGACAGGAAGGATCAACATGAGAAGGGATCCAAGTCCTGTTCCAATAGTTCACTCCATGCACTACACAAGCCAGAACAGAACTTTAAAAATGGTAACTTTATGTTTGTGGGATGGGTGTATATAGTATTAGTCTAATCTCTAATAGCTAAAAGGAAATTCCTGTTGTTGTCATTTAAGATGATATGTCAATATCCTGCCCAGACAGCCGCTATTTTCCCAGTATGCCTGTCATAAACAGCTTAGCACAAGTTCCATCTGCTGTGGCAGAATATTATTCAGCTCATACTTATTGTTCTGTAAATCCTGATTAAATTATGAAGTTGGGCAAGTGGTAATAAGTTCTAACTTGCTGTTAAGACAGAAGTGTTACATTGTTTTGATGTTTTTCTTATGAGATGTATAGGCAATACTTCCTCATGCAAAAACTTGCTATACCTCCTACTAAATGGCACAAGAGCCAACTTTACCCTTAATTTTACCCCGCATCATTACTTTGAAAATACTTGAATAAATCAGCAGAAATCTGTGATTTAATCATATCATCAAAAGGAAGAGAAATGTTAAAAATGCCAATGGAATCTGGGCAAATCTGAAAACTCCAAATGCAAGAAAACTAGGCCATTGATTGACTTTAAGGGCTTTTGATTCAAAAACATTCAGAAACGAACAAAACCACTTAACTACAAATATAATGACAGAATAAGGATGCAAATTATCAATAAGGAAGTGAAGCAATGCTTGCACAAAGCTCTTCAGATCACAGGGCTTTCTTGAATGATGGACATCACTCCAGAGGGACTGAGTTGCCTGGACCCAAGCAGAAAGCCCACTCTGCCTATGCTATCAATTCCACAGAAGCCCCCCTGCCTTCTAGAAAGCACTCAGTGTGATCAGCCTGGCTATGGAGGAAGCAAGGAGGTGGAGAGGACCCAGCTATCCTAGCAAACTCTCATCTAATGAACGTTGCCTAGATGGTCTGGTGCCTGTTATCTATGGAGGTCCTTGCCAGGTAGCAGGGCTTTCCTAGGGATACGGGCCAGAAAGCTCTCTAGGCTAATACTTCACATTTCGAGGGTTAAACCGGACATTGTGAACAGATCATACTAACTACCGGTTGCAATTTTTCTGGTCCATCCCAAGAAAGGCATGGAATGAAAACACCAGCAGATAAATCTTACAAGCATGTATTTGATGTAACAAAGATGTAGAAACCAAAAAACTAATCTAACTGAAAGCAGCTATGATGGTGAAACAAAAGGAGCACTCTCTCTAATGAGGAAGAAAGACATCACCAAGCACCGATCTAACCATGCTCAGCCACAAAGGCCTGAAGCGTAGATCTCACCACACACTGCTGCTTCGGAGTTGCGCACTCACTTCTAGTCACGGGACTATAATCTCACTGGAGTCCCTGCCCAGAATCATATACAATAAGCAGTATCAACCAATTCATTAAACTGGCTTATGCAAGGAATAACAGAAAGTCAATATTAAACCTATTCAAATCAATCTTGGCAATTACCTTATCAATACATTTCCCAACTAAAATTAAAAAGTGATCATCAGAATAAAGGACCACCAGTTGATCGGAAAAGTCACTTATGAATTAAAAGAGCAACTCCTTTAAACTACACAGGAGTTTCTATTACACAGACCTCTCCAACTCAATACCAACCCAAAGCATAGTCTTATGATGTGATTGAATTATTTTCTTGTAAAAAGGCCTCATCAGCATTAAGTGCTGTTAACTTAGTGAGAACTCTCTTCGGCTTAAATTCTGCAATCCTGTAATATTTTAGGAAAGCCCATTAAATGTAGAAAGAAAAAAAAGGAAAAGAAACATGTTGCTCTCCCACCCCACACAAATTATTCCAATTTTGCAAAATCTACCTACTTTTAAATAGCACAATGTATAACTCATAGAATATACTTAATTCCATTTTTTTCAAAAAATAATTATTTATGATGCTGCAACTTTCCAAAACACTAAAATAAAAAAATCCTGAATCAGAAATGAAAGCCTAACCAAACCAAGCGTCTCTTGTACTACTACTGTCTTCTATTACAAAAGATCCCCAAATATAATAAAACAGTGCAAAAACTAAACAAATAAACAAAAAGAAACAAACAAAATCTGGCTTCCAGTAAAAGGGCGACAAAACTCCTGCTATCAATGCCTTCTTGGCAATTATTAAATAAATATATTAATCTGAAAATAAATGAACATTTTAGAAGTTATTTCAACCTGTAAGCATTTATAGTATTAAGTATATCTAAGAAATAAATGGGAAAAAATAGCAAAGAGAAGAGGTGGGGAATCTTTGAACAGATAATACATGTGTATTATCTGTTCAAAGTATATCTAAGTATATCTATTATATGAAAGTATATCTTATCTCTATTAAGTGTATCTAAATAAATGGGAAAAATAGCGAAGAGGAAAAAAGAGGCCAAAACAAATATGGCCATATGCCTGCAGCTTTATCTACTTGGACTGTAAAAACCTCAGCTGTCAGCCTAGGGTCAATTTGCCAAAGGTTGAATTCAACTGTAAAAGGGTGACTAAAGGGCCAGCTGAAGAATCCAAGAGGCAGCTGACCGTCTGTGACGAATGACTGGAAATTTCTTTGATTTAACTGAGACAGGCAACACAATGGCTGCAGAACGAAGAATATCCTAACACAATCCCAGATCTCTGGCCACAGATCTGGCCTTAGTAAAATGTCTTCTTCAGTCAGAAACCTCCTTGGTGCATGGGAATGAAGCATGCCTTCATTATTTCTAGAAGCTAAGTGCAGTTCTCCCCTTTGCCTTGGTGCACAAAGTGGATACTCTTTAGCTGAAGAGCAGAGAAGCTGAACAAGAATTCGGAACCCGTGCACAGAGCCAGAAACAAGAGAGTCTCGTTCACTATCAGGCTGAAAAGCTGTTAGCAGGGCGAATAACCCAAATGAGAACATTTCCATAGAATCTGCTAAATGAATCTGCATAGGCTGTTCCTGACGCCCACAGACAACAAATTAGGTTTCTGAGAAAGCTTCTAGAAGAGAAACAGAGATACATTCTGTGAGAAGCAGCCACTGCTGTCTTGTGAGCTCCTCTAGCATATTACCTTTTCATTCCATTAGTCTAAAATGCACATGAGCAGAACTTATGGATGCCTTGAGAGTTTTAATAGAATCCTGGATCAACTGCAGTTGCTCAAGCTAATATTTTCAGCAGGGCAACAACGTGTCCCCTGATCAGAATCTGCTTTAGAAAGCTTAGGCAAAGGAGCCTTGCAGGGGAGCTGGTAGAAATCCTGATCCTTTTTTGTTTCCTGTGCAGCCAGAATGAACCTTCTCCACTAAGCACAGCGAACAGGTACACAGAAACAAAACCGGAGCAAGGCTAAAAGCAAAATATCATGACAACACAATGATTTTAAGCAGTAATTCGGATTTTACAAGTTGAAAACTGGAGGCAGCACAGGCTGCTTTTTTCACATTCAGGAAAATTTGCATTGATTTTTTCCCACTTTCAGAGTGGTGCTGTCACATGCAGGCAAGCTGTCTCTGACTTAGGGTGCTCTATGAATGAATGCCCACCAAGATATCCTGTCCTTTACAGCCCTGCTCGGCTCCTGTAAACACAATCCTGGGGCTTTCTTTTTAGAACTGTCGTTGTTGTTGTTGTTGTTAGTCGCGAAGTCGTGTCCGACCCATCATGACCCCATAGACAACATTCCTCCATGCCCTCCTGTCCTCCACCATCCCCCGGAGTCCACTTAAGCTCACACCGACTGCTTCAGTGACTCCATCTAGCCACCTCATCCTCTGCCGTCCCTTCTTCTTTTGCCATCTATTGTTCCCTGCATTAGGCTCTTCTCCAGGGAGTCCTTCCTGCTCATTAGGTGGCCAAAGTATTTGAGTTTCATCTTCAGGATCTGGCCTTCTAAAGAGCAGTCAGGGCTGATCCCCTCTAGGACTGACTGGTTTGATCGCCTTGCAGTCCAAGGGACTTGCAGGAGTCTCCTCCAGCACCACAATTCAAAGGCCTCAATCCTTTGGCGCTCAGACTTCCTTCCAGCTTTCACAGCCATACATTGCAACTGGGAAAACCATAGCCTTGACTATACGCACTTTTGTTGGCAGGATGATGTCTCTGCTTTTTAGTATGCGGTCTAGATTTGCCATAGCTTTCCTGCCCAGGAGCAAGAGTCTTTGAATTTCTTGGCTGCAGTCCCCATCTGTGGTGATCTTGGAGCCCAGGAAAATAAAATCTGTCACTACCTCCATTTCTTCCCCATCTATTTGCCAGGAATTGAGAGGACCGGATGCCATGATCTTAGTTTTCTTAATGTTGAGTTTCAAGCCAACTTTTGCACTCTCCTCCTTCACCTGCATCAAGAGGCTCTTTAGTTTCTCTTCACTTTCTGCCATGAGAGTGGTATCATCTGCATATCTGAGGTTGTTATTTCTTCCAGCAATCTTAATTCCAACTGGTGATTCATCTAGCTCCGCCATTCTCATGATGTGCTCTGCATATAAGTTAAATAGGCAGGGCGACAGTATACAGCCTTGCCAAACTCCTTTCTCAATTTTGAACCAATCAGTGGTTCCGTGTCCAGTTCTCACTGTTGCTTCTTGACCCGCATATAGGTTTCACAAGAGACAAAGAAGATGGTCTGGTACTCCCATCTCTTTAAGGGCTTGCCACAATTTGTTGTGATCCACACAATCAAAGGCTTTAGCATAGTCAATGATTTTTAGAACTAATCCATATCATATTTGATCTTTTTCCTATTCTGCCTTTGACTTTTTCTAGATTTACTGCCTTTTCATTACATGCTTCAAGTTCTGGCTTGATTTGATCCGTGACCCACTTGTTCATCTTTCTGATGATCCAGGGTATTTGCAAAGTTCTCCTCCAGCACCATGCTCCAAATGCATCCATTTTCTTCACTGTCCAGATGCCAAACCCATACAATAGAATAGTGTGCATGATCCTGACCTCGGTCTCTAGTGAGATGTCCTTACACAAATTTTATCCCATGTTCCTTTGAATTATCTACACATTTATTAGAATGTTACTTCAGATCAGTGTAACTGGATTTTGCATGCCACCTGAACAGCTAAAGGACCAATATCACAACCCTGGAAGGATAAATGGCCACCTTGGGTGGAAAATTTATGAAGGTTTCAGTTTTGGATGTGCGGGGGAGGTTAAATATATGGCAATTTGGAGTGCCTTTGTTAAAGTCTATGTATAATTATTGTTAGTAATGGTAATGTGACAATGGAACCGATTCCTTAGGGAGGTTGTGGGCTTTCCCATGCTAAAGATCTCAAGATGCAACTGAACAGCCATCTGAGAGGGATGATTTAAGTTGGAATCCTGCACTGCGCAGGGGGTTAAACCCAATGGCCTTCTGGCCCCATCCAGCCCTACTATTCTATGATCTTCCCAGTTCTTTCACTGCTGCCCTTTACAAGTCCCATTCTTCTTTGAATTTCTTGGCTGCTGTCTCCTTTGAAAGGATGACTGAGCCAAAGTATGCAAAATATTTCACAATTTCAATTTCCTCATTGTTGACAGTCAAGTTGTGTAACTCTACTGTAGTTGTGATTTTTGTTTTCTTAATGTTCAGCTGCAGTCCTGCTTTTGCACTTTTTCTTTCACTTTCAACAGGTGTTGTTTCAATTCACTGCAGGTCTCTGTCCATAATATGGTATCTCTCATATGTGTGTGTGTGTGTGTGTGTGTGTGTGTGTTAAATTATTGATGTATCTTGCAATTTTCACTCCTTCCTCTGATCCTTATCCAGTTTTCCTTAAGGTGTTTTCTGTGTACAGGCCAAACAAATAGGTAGATAAAATACAGCCTTGTCTGATGCCTTTGCCTGTAAGAAACGATTCCTTTTCTCTGTATTCTGCCCAAACTGAAGCTTATGTAATTACTGTGAATTTGTACAAATCTCCTTGAAGGCAAACAAAAAGTTAAAGTTGTGAAATCTCTACAAACATGATCCAAAAAAATCTACAAAAAAGGATATTCCATTAAGGTGCATATTTGTGATCACTGGCAGAGTATCGGGGTAGGCTTCTAATGTTCTACTTTCACAGCACAAGTCATGGGAAACTGAAGAGCACCTGATCATTCACTAGGAATAATGTAGGTTAGCGACTGAACAACCAACCCACTGTGGCTTATTTTCAGTATGATCTATTCACTGGCCTCTTGCTTCTTCCCACCACTTGATAAAGCTCATCATCTACATGAATTGTCCTAGAAGCAAAATGTTGAAGGATATGTCCATTCAAATGACAATGACAGGGCCTCAAGAACAGAGAATACACACCCTGTGTTGAACCCTAAGCGATACTTTTTCACCTGCAGACCTGAACAGTTCCACAACATGTTGATGCAGCATGTTCTTCAGCTCCTTGCCATTAACCTGAGAAAAACAAAAATGTGAAGGACCATTTAAGGATAACAATGTTAGGGACAAGCAGACAAACCAGCTCAATAAGATAGCCAGGTGCATAGAGTTGCCCATGTCCACACAGCTGGACAGATATTGAGTGGTATTTATCCTTCAACAGGACAGACACCACTGGCAGAATGGATTACCCCTGCTTGTTGCAGTTTTTTAAAATTTATTACTTCTATTTGTTTGCCACCACAATAGCTCATAGTTGAGCTCCCCGAGCAGCTCACAATGATTAAAACACTGTAAATTCTAACAACCAATAGTACTAAAAACAATCCCAAACATCATTAATGCAAAGCATAACCAAACCAATTATGATCATTACATAAAAACCTTAAATTGAACCATTTAAATACATACGAGAAACTAAAATAAAACCATAAGCCAGGGTCAAGTTAAAATCAACATTCATTAAAATCAACTGTTAAAATAGCCAAAAAAGAGAAATGTCTTGGCCTGGCACCAAAATGATTAATAGTCATGGTGCCAGGCATACTGGTCTAGGGAGCCTATTCCAAAGTTCTCCCAAATCTTATTACTGCACATGGAAAACTACAGGGGAGAAGCAATCCTAACAGAGGTATCTTCCCAATAGCCTGTCCTATGATTGTGTGCATGGATGCAAGTATGAATGTACCAGCAGGTACCACAAACATCACACACAACCCACGGGACTGAAAAGGTTGTATACCCCTTGTATGTTCAGCTCTACCTCTGATCTTTCCAGACAAGCCCATAAGACCTTTCTTTTTATATCCGTGTATACCATGGAACTGGGGGAAACTGTGGGTCCTCAAAGTGCATTTTGCACTGTGTATGCCCAGAGACAGATAATGTGTGGCCTTTTCAGGGAAGAGGAGATTACACTTACAAGTTTTTATGTGCAAGTCAATCATTACTGTGACATGATGTTCAATGCTTTAAGCTTAAACTGGAAAAGGAAGACCTGCTACATATTGGTGAGGATTTTTCCCCTTGCAGAGGGAAACTGCCCAAGTCTCTAAAAGATTAGGAGTGTACCATAAACTCATCAGTGAAATTTATTCCTTCATTCCAGCAACAAGTCAGAGGCAGGGTGGATTTAGCCATGCCTTTGAACCACCTGCTTCAGAAAAAGGCAAGACATTTGCATTTCTCATAAAATAAACTCACACTGAGGATGAGGCAAATCCACAGCAGAGATTGGTGTAAAGCGAACAAATCTTTAAAACCAAACAAAAGAAAACAAAACACCGCTAGCTGGACTTGTGTTTCCAAAAACATGCAAGTGCTGCGGTCTGCAAGATGTCTTGTGGAGTAAAATCTAATTTTGAAGGACCTACAATAAGTTTCTGAACCTCATTTGTCAGCCCCAAATAATTTGAGCACAAGAACTTTAACTATATACCATTAAAATTTTGTCTCCCTCCTGCAGGCGTCCATCAAGTGCAGCGGCTCCATTTTCTTTGATCCGACTAACATAGATGCCAGTGTCATCTGAGATGTACTGCTGGTCAATTCCACCAACTATGTTAAACCCCAGACCTAAGAACAAAAAACAAGATAAAGAGACATCAGAACCTCCAAGACTAAAAGTAAACCAGGAACTCATAAATACCTGATGGACGCCATTCCCTTCTACATCCATAAAACTCAAGAGGCTAAAGTAATTGCTAGTTTAATTAGATGGTTGGCAAGCGTGTGTTTTGAAAAACTAAGAGGGATGGGAAAGGGGCTTGTCACTAGGATCAAGACATGTGAGGAGGGGAGTCTAACACTTACCTGTTGAGCTGCAATCCCAATGAACATCTATCATTATCATTATGTAGCATTTGCATCCTGCCTTTCTTCCTCTTGTGAAGAGCCTAAGGCAGCTGATAAGCATCTCCTTGCCATTTCATCCTCCCAGACAATCCTGTGAGGTAGGCTAGGCTGAGAGCCTGGGGCTGGCCTAAAGTCACTAGGTGGGCTTCATGACTGAGTGGGGACTAGGATCCAGATCTCCTGAATCCCAGCCAAGCACACTTGCCGTGGAGCCATATAGAAATGAAATTAATACTACATTGCACAGGAATCTGGTAATTAGTATTAAGAAAAAAGGGACAAGGGTCAGGGGGAGCATTTTTCCTAGTATTCATGCCTTCAGAAAGCAATCCAATCCAATCCTAAGCAGCAGCACTAGCTTATTATCTCACCCCCCAAATGTTCACCTTACCAGCTTTATGTCTGTCTGTCTGTCTCCCTCTCCCTCTCCCTCTCTCTCTATTTATTTAGGAGACTTCTATGCCACCCCATTCGCGGAAGCCTCGGGGTGGCTCACATCCATAAATAAACTTCCATAGAATAATATAAATTAACAGTATAAATTAAGTCGCCCTGGTCAAAGAATAAAATGAATAAATACTATTAACAATTAAAATGACATTTGAATAAAAAGGTCTTTGCCTTTTTAATAAAGCACTGTAAAGCACTGTAATACACTAGCTGATCAGTATTGACTTTTATAGGTTGAGAAGCTGAGCTATAAAAGATTGACTTGGAATTTATACAGAATTAGGAATTCCCATGGCTGGCCATTCCCCCTTCAGTGAAATCTAGGAGCAAGTTGCTTTCTGTACTAACCAGAGTCTGGCAGGCCATTTATTTTCTGTAGTAAGTTATCCATTTCAGGAATATGTATTCAGTTCTGCAAATAAAACCTGCTCTGTTTACATATTTGCACTCCCTTCCAGGAGAGTGGAAACCTTTGGGCAGCACACTGTGCAGTGGCACCCATGGAAGCCACGACGGATCATATCACAAAAGCACACAAAGACATACAGAGTGAAGAGACCACAGTTGATGACCACTGCAGCCTGTCACAGGCCTAGCTTTGAACATATTATCATTAGCTTGCAGGTCAGAAACTTGGTTTTCTTTTTGACCAGCTGAGATTTGAGGCAGTTTAAGGAACAATAGTGGCTCTAAACTCTCTTCTAGAGATGTGGAACTGCAAAAGATAAACACCACTGGGTATTGGAGTCTCATTGCAATCACAAAGTAAATCTACTTCAAATTAGAAACAAGCATTCAAGACTGTGAAAATACTTGTCTGATCCAACAAACACAACATAGCTTTGTGCTTTAGGTTCACAATTCTTTAGAAGAAAAGAGAAATCAGATCTGAAACCTGACAGTCAACAGCCATATGGAAACTGTATTCAGAATTTATGTTTTTTCATATGTTGCTGTTTCAAAAAGTTTGGTCTAAAATACTGATAGAGCATTCTATGTCCTTGAACCAATACCTATCACTCTTGGGCCCCACACAGGTTATAATCTCCTTTGAATCCACTTTAATTAGCTGAGTTTACTAAAACTATCCTGCTCAAGGTCTGCCACCAGTATGTATAAATTAGGTGCTACAAGAGGGCTCAACAAATTAAAATTGAGAACACCACAAGAAAAATAGAAAAATCATGACCTCACATAGATACCTGCAGCAAGTGGTAAAATAGAAAATCTCGAATGCAGAAGAGTGTTTTCTCCTGTTAACTGACCCTATTTTCACAAAAATAGTATTTCCAAAACCAAATACAAGCTGCCCACACCTACTTGCCAAGGTACCAAAATACAGCAAACCAAATTATGGCACCTTAAAGACTAACACATTATTCTCGCATGAGTTTACATAGACACTGTCCACTTCACCAGATGTGTGAACTGCTAACCTTAACTTGGCAGGTGTAGGACACAACTTAGACGTTGTCGGAGAGTCCATAGGATTATTTGGAGTTCCAGGTATGAAATTTTGCAAACTTGGAGCTGGGACTCCAGAGGCTTTCCCCCCGCTCCCATAGTCAGCAGGGAAAGAACCACACCAGCACCCCTTCCTAGCCCGGTCGGCCTCAGCTGGGATCGGAGAGGGCAAAAAGGATCCTTCCAGGGGGTGGAGAGGAGAAGATTGCTGTCAGCACTCCAGTCTCCTTACTTCCCTGGCACTTGAGATGGCTAAGAAAAGCCAGCTAGACAAAACGCAGGGCACAAGCCAGCAGAGACGGCCACAACTGCACTTTGCTCCATGCTCAGGAACACAAGACACATGCACCTCTGAGTTCAAGGGTTGGGGCAAGCAGGAGTGCACAGCACCAGGCTGTGCCCTTATGTATCCGTGCAAGGAAGGGATATAACTCACCCAGTCAGGGGGAACTGAAATGTAAAGAATTACCGACAGTGCTATTTTCTTTTACCTTTTAGATTAAGGTAATTATCTTGTCTATACCTTTTTTTTTTTTGCATTTTAATTTCCTCTGACTAGCTCAGTTGTACCAGCATCACCCCTTTGCATGTGCAACAGAAGGGCACAATTTGAAGTGAACTGTTCAGACTCACAGAATAATAGAGCTAAAAGGGATCAACATGTCCAGCCTGGTGCACCTGACAAAGTAGCCAGTGTCTATAAAAACATATGGCAGGATTTTTTTGGTTAGTCTTTATTATACTGTAAGATTCTGCCGTTTCCATTGCCACAGTCTAACATGGCTGCTGCTCTGGAAATTGTGCTAAAATGGAAGAAATATTTCCTGTTTTCAGGATAGCTAAAATAAACAGAAATGATGCTTTAAATTTGTCACTAGATGTCACTAGCAAGAACTACAGACCCTTTTTATTTTCCCATTCTTTCAGATGCTTGTTCGTGCTTTATATCCCTGTCATTTGCGGTTTAGTGGTGACTGCAATGTGAATTTTGAATGTTATTTTTTCAGGTTTATTAGCCACCCTGGAAATACAACCATTAAAGGGTGGGAAATATATGCATTCCATCAATACATTAAACGTAACAACTACTGCCACAAATACAATTTAAAGATTTTTCTCTAATACAGAACAAACTCTTATTACACTGAATTTATATCCAGCCTTGTTTCTTCTTGTGAGGAATCAAAGGTGGCTTCCCTAGCCCCCTCCACTCCATTGTACCCCCACAACAACAATCAGCCTATGAGGTAGTTAGGCTGAGAGTGAGTTACTGGCACAAGTCAGCCAGGACCTTCATGGACCTCCCAGGTCCCAGCCCAATACTCTGACCACCACACCAGCTCTAATGCTGATAGCAAGATTACCAAGCCCGGGACAGAAAGCCAGTGAAAAAGCTCAATCCGAAAGCAATCAAAGTACTCCAAAGTCACAAAAAGTGGCCTACATTGCTTGCTCCTTGGGCTCCAATGGAGGCTTGGTAAATTGGGTTAAGAATAGTTGTCCTTCATTTAAGGGAAAGCCTGAACTGCACCCAGGATGACATGACACTAAAAACCATTCTTCCCAGCTGTCCCCCAGGCTCACTCCTCTACCCTATAGCAAGGCTGACACATTTAGAAGCACAATATTCTAAAGAGCACAAAGGAACTTGCAATGAAGTACACTGCTCTACCAGCTTAATGTCACTTGCACCTTGAGACTCAAAATACCGTGTTCAAAATTTGCAGCTACCTGAAACAGCATTCTTTTTATTCTGAACATCATATAGAATCCTTAAACCTAAAATATTAGACATGTGCTTTCTTTAAAACGCACACAGTGGCATTGGCATCACAGGGCATCTTGTCCGCTACATGAGACACCCCCTCCCGCAACACACACCCTTCATCTCAAGTGCCTCAGCACACAGGGATACCAGGCAATTCCTGAAGCACTGCAAAATTAGGCCTTCTGTTCTCTTGGGGTGCTAGGATTTGTTTGTGGCATATACACCACCTCTTTTCCCCAGAAGCTCAGAAAATTGCAGGCAGGAGTTGTACTATTTTATCTTAAGAATCACAGAATCATTTTAGAACTGGAAGGGGCCAGGGGGGCATTGGGTCCAACCCCCTGCTCAGTGCAGGAGACCAAATTAAACCATCCCTCTCAGATGGCTGTTGAGCTGCATCTTGAATGCCTCCAATGTTACCTGAAGGAGCGCTTACATCCTTATATGCCCAGCCGCCCCCTGAGATCGGCGGGAGAGGCCCTTCTCCGGGAGCCCTCCATGGAAGAAGTTAGGAGGGTGGTTACTCGGAGGAGGGCTTTCTCAGCGGTGGCGCCTAAGTTATGGAATGCGCTCCCCAGAGAGGTCCGCCTGGCGCCGTCGTTATTTGTTTTTCGGCGCCAGGCAAAGACCTTTTTATTTAAGCAGTATTTTAAATGTTAATATTATTGAATTTTATTTGGCCAGGGCGGCTTGTTTTATAGTGTATATTTGTATTTTATTGTATATATTTTAAAATGTTATTTTAAATTTTTTGTTGTAAGCCGCCCCGAGGCTTCGGCGAATGGGGCGGCATAAAAATGTTTTAATAAATAAATAAATAAATAAATGTGGGAGAGTCCACAACCCCGCTAGCTCATTGGTTCCATGGTTGTACTGCTCTAACATTTAGGAAATTTTCCTAATATCTTGTTGGAATCTGGTTTCCTGTAACTTAAGTCTGTTATTCCATGTCTGTACTCTGGGATTATCGAGAAGAGAGCCTGTCCTTCCTCTTTGTGACAGACTTTCAATTACTTGTAGAGTGCTATCATTTCTCCCCACAGTCTTCTCTCCTTGAGGCTAAACAAGCCGTTTTTTCCATCTCTTTTTGTAGGGCCTTGTTTCCAGTCCCTGGATCATCTTTGTTGCCCTCCTCTGAACCCTTTCTAGCTTGTCTGCATCTTTCTTAAACTGTGGTGCCCAGAACTGGACACAGTACTCCAGAAGAGGCTTAACCAGTGCTGCATAAAGAAGAATGTGTATTTCATAGGCTTTGAAGTGATAGTTCTATTAATGCAGCCTAAAATAACATCTGCCCTTTTTGCAGTCACATCACATTGTTGCCTCATTATATAGCTTGTGATTTACAATTCCAAGATCATTTGCAGAATTGCTGCGTCAAGTATTCCCTGTTTTATAATGACACACATGCTTTCTTTTTCCTAGGTGCCGAACTTGGCATTTGTCCCTACTGACTTTCATTCTGTTGTTTCCAGCTGAAAGTTCCAACCTATCAGGATCACCTTTGATCATCTTTCTGTCTTCCAGGGTATAAGCTATCCCGCCAGCTTTGTGTCATCTACAAATCTGATAAGCATTCCCCGCACTTTCTCACCGAAATCATTAATAAAAATGTTGAAGAGCACTTGGCCCAGGACTGAAAACTGTGGCACCCCACTTGTTACCTCTCCCCAGTTTGAAAAGGAGCCATTGCTGAGCACTCTTTGAATCCAATTCTGTAGCCATCTGTGGATCCACCTGATAATTGTTCTATCTGGCCCACTTTTTGCTAGTTTGCTAATCAGGATATAATGGACCACTTTGTCAAAAGCTTTGCTAAAGTCAAAATAGATTATGTTCACAGCATTCCCACAGTCTATTGGGTGGTTGCCCAATCAAAAAAGTGAAATCGGATTAGTTTGGCAGGATTTGTTCTTGAGAAATCTATGTTGGCTTCTACTAATCACTCCATTGTTTTCAAGCATTCTGCAGACTGACTGCTTTATAATCTGCTCCAAAATTTTCCCAAGGATTGATGTCAGACTAACTGTAGTTCCCAAGTTCTTCTTTTTTCCCTTTCTTGAAGATGGGGACATTAGCCTTTCTCCAGTCATCTGGCATATTCCCTGTCCTCCATGATTTCTCAGAGATAATAGACAGTGGTTCTGAGAGTTTTTCCACCAGTTTGTTTAAGGCTCTAGGATGGAGTTCACTGGGCCCTGAGGATTGGAACTCGTTCAACCCAATTAGATGATTCTTGACCGTTTGCATATCGATTTTGAGCTGCTATCCTGCTCCTTCAGCTTGTACTTTCTTTCAGCATTTTACAAGATCAGTCAGGCCAGCTAAGGAGTAAACCAAAAATCTGTACCCAGCACATCTGTCTGTTCACAGGTCCAATACAAAGCTCAGGTACTCGCCCTGTGTGGTGGGAAGACAGACCCGGCTCCCTATTTAATATACACCACCCAAAGGCCCTTGGGGAGTGGCAGGGGGGTATTCACACAGTCCTGAGAAATGAGCCTCGGATATTAAAGGAAACATCGTCCATGCCAATCGTCTTTACTGCGTTCTTTTTGGAGGGCACATAGCACGATACATTTCGCGCAGGCACGGTCCGTCTTTGACTTGGTACCGGCAGCGGAGATTCTCTACTGAGACGGCTCCCTTGCTCAGCGAGGAGAACGTCTGCTTCTCCTCTTTTAAAGCGCTGGCCAATCCTACGTAGCAACTTAAAACGAGCTGCTTTTCCAAGCACAGGGCAAACCAGAGTGCAAGGCGACACGAGTCCCTCCCCCACTCTCCTTCAGCTGCACGAGGGAGGGAGATGCTATTCCCACGGATGCTATTATTACGACGACGACGACTAGCGACGGTATTTTAGCAGAGCACTGCTCTTTCCCACACGATGAAGGTTATTTTCAAGTGGCTTGCAGAGCGAAGCAAGGAGCAAAACTGTAACAGGCCTCAGCATGGCGCATTCCTGCTAGCTCAGGAGCCACGCCGAAGTAGATCGATGGCCAGAGAAGTTCAAGAATGGCCGCAGCAGCAGATCAGACCTCTCAGTGCGCCGAAGGCAGCCGCTGCCCCCCACCCCCCGCCGTGCTTTGCCTTTGTACCTGAAGGTCCTCTGGTGAGATTGATCACTTCCTCGGAGAGGAGGTAGTCCACGCCGCCGTTCATGCTGCGCATTCCTGCGAGGCCCTGCCTCCGCGCCCCACGGACAGTCCCCCAAACTCGCGCGCTCCCGCCCACTCTTGAAGGTGAAACACTCCAGGCCAAGCGCGGCGAACGGCGCTACTTTCAGTTTCATCAGCATCACGACCGGAAGACAGGCGGCGGCCGCTAAGAATCCTGGGATGCGTAGTTCTTCTGAGGTTTGCACCGCTTGGACCGTTCCCTTCTTTCGGGCGCCTCCTCTCGTTTGTTGATGCTTACCTTCTTAGAGAGAGTGACGGAGAAGGGAAGGGTGCTAGCGAGCTTCACTTCAGGCAAGTAATAATGGGATCAATCTGCCAGGGTTCAGCCCATATTTTGTGCTTCCTTTTCTTTTCTTTTTTTTTAAGCATTTCCGGCAACAGCTGTTCTCAAACTGGGCCCTCCAGGTGTGTTGGAGAACAAGTCCCTAGCCCCAGCTAGCATGAGTAGGAGAAGGCTGCCCTAGGGTACGGGGGGGGGGGGGGAGGAGTACGATTCACTCTATTTCTCCTATTTGGTATGATCCCACAGTTTCCAAAAATGAAGTACTCCTGACGTGTGCTAACTTTGAAATAATTAGGTTGTGTCTGCAGAATATTTAATATGCATTAGTTGAACATGCACAGTCCACCCCTAAGTACTGAGAGTGAGGGTGCCATATTGTTCAAAGTGTTGGGCTAATTCAGCTTCGTGGAGATGGTTTAATTCCTCATTTATCCATGCAGTTCACTGAGCAAGTCTTTCAACCTAGGCACTCTTTGAGACTCCTTGTGAGTTGCTAAGGAAAAGGAGGGCAAGCAGGTTGTAACATCGTCGTTGAGGTCGTCATCATCAAAGCAGAATGAAACGTTGCAGTGTGTAATATTTTTGATGACTATTCCATCTACCAGTGGGCCATGTCTTCTTTTACCATACATTAGTCTCTTTCCAACCTGTTTTTCCTTTCTTCTGCCTTCCAGCGTACAAGAGCCACTTTGTTTTATGGACTGAGTTTTCACTTCGGTTCCCCCACCTTACCAAAGGTCTTTCTTTTGCAAACTGCGCTGTTTCTCAAACACACTGATAATTCCCTTTTGTTTCCCAGTCACCAAGTTTTGCCTACATAACCATGACTGAGTTTGCTGTAAATATATATAGATGTGGGACCTACAACAAAATGTTGCAGCATGGAGAAACAGAGTTTCAGCTAACAAGATGTACTTTCTAGGATGTCCCATTCTACCCCACCCTGCATCTCCCATGTAGTCTCCAGTGGCTCCTGGGGAAGTTCAGCTCCCACCATGCTTAGGTATTTCCCCCTAAGGTTTTGTGCTTCCTTAAATCTGTACCCATTTGTGCAAACAATGTAATTTTACCTCCACATAAGGCACATGAATCAAAATGCAGAAAATGAATGCTTTTCTGATTATGTATATTTCCAAAAACTAAATAAATGCAGTCCAAGAGAGACTGAAAAATCAGTCTTGTTTCAGGATTTATTCAGAAAGAATTACTCAGAATATTATGCAATATCTCCACTGACAATTTTATATCCATATTGGATGGAAGATTTTGATATTTCAAGGTATACTGTGTGTGTGTGTGTATGTGCATGAAACTTTTTTTCCTGTTTGTGGTCTTGTAGACTTTCTATTGGCATCATTTTTGTGATGGCTGTATGTTACATTAACATAACTTTTTCTTCCACTGACATGAGGGGTTTTTCTTGCCATCTTAGCCGCATGTAACAATTACCTAATAGCTTCAATGCTTATGTTGCTAATGAGCTTATGCATCCTTCCATTTGAAAACAGTACCCCCCCACCCACTCCAATAGAAAGAGATTGCTCCCAGTTACTGACAGAAAAACTTCCATGTTAGCAAAAAACATCTAGGTGAACACAAGATTTTGTTAGCAGATGAATTCTATCAAAAAGAAGCTTTAACATTAATGAAAAGCTTACAAACTCAAATATAATTTTATACATCCCCCCACCCCATTTTGATGCTTTGTAAATTGTGATCTACTGCGGGTTTCCAACCTCAACTGATTCTGCTGGATAGATTCTTGAACTTATGCTTCTAAACTGCTGTCTGAGTGCTGTCCTGTAATGTATGGCCAGGTAAACAGAAGCAGTCATTAGAAATAATGTTCCTAGAATAATTGCTGCAAGGAAACCAATCCTTTTTGGTGGAGGCGGGCCACTGTCAATGCTGCCACCAAAGCCTTTACTTAGACAGTCAGGAGGTGCCCAGCCATAGTCGCAGTGACAATGTTTGCGGGAGTTGCACATTCCCCGATTGTGGCACTTTGTGGGACTGCAATCATACTTCAAGAAGGACATGTTTCTGCATGTCCCCTGAATACACATTCCTTGGGTGCCACAGGGAGTACCATCATTCACTGCTCCAACATCAGCTCCTTCCATTCCGAGATGATAGTCAGTACCCCAGCATTTCTGCTTACCTATGCTTGTCTGAATTATGGTGCTATCTTCCGTCAAAGAAGGTAATGCCTGCACTCTAGCACACTGAATGCGACCGCAAAATATATTCTTTTGTTTACATTTAGCATAACGTCCTCGTCTAATGCCACAGTTGCCAAATCGATCCCCTTGAGCATTCAGTAGTCTGAAACAACTCTCTGAAGCAACAGTTGCTTCCTTGCCAAAGATCATTTTGCATTGCCTACTGAGAGTGGCACACTTCCCGTGATAGCAGTGCGCACCGTCACTGCATGGGGCACCATCTTGTACATAAACATCTTCAGGACACCACTGTGAAGTCCCGTTGCAGTACTCAGGAAGATCACAGTTGCCAGTCTTCTTTCTGCAAATACTTCCAGTTGAACGATACTTACACATGGCACAGCACAGTCCAATATTACAAACAGCACCTGGACGCAACTTACAATCCGATTGGCAACATGGATCCGATTTACATTGACTTTTGGTACCGCAGTCACATTGTTCTCCAGCTTCCAGTATTTTATTGCCACAGTATTTCAGCCTAAATCTCTTTTCAGGGTCTGACTGAACCAACAAGCAATTAGAGTTCCTTAGTTTAGAATAATCATTATAGCTGCAATTACTAAACTTGTCAACTTCAGATGGCGCTTCAGCCATGATGCAGGATTCTCTTTCACACTGACAGTAGATGCCATCATGGTTCATGCCAAGGTTATGCCCTAGTTCATGGGCAAACAGAACAGAAAAAAAGGACACACTGAATCTGACATACGATTCAACAGCAGATGCCCACTGGGAACTACAAATGGTTCCGGTGTATGCTAATCCAGCTGTCTGTCCAAAGATCCTATGTACAAATAAGTGACCGGCATCATTTGGCAGATATTTATTTAGTGTTTTTGTCCTCCATGAATTGAAAGTGTTAAGCAGTGGACTTATTTTGTTAGGAACTTCTATGAGATTCTTTTCTGACCATATTTCTAGCCCAACTAGGGACACAATAACACCAAGTGGTTTATAGAATGTATTTGCAATATGGACAATCTCTAGAGCATGCATGGCAACCAAAGTTTCATTCTTGTGAAACATGAGGTATCGCTGATGTTCCACGACAATTGCAATATCTGCATACCTGCTGTGTGTCCACCACTCTCCTTTGGAAACTTTGGCTGCAAAATTCCCTCTGGTTTGGATCATGGCCCCTTGACGGCTTTGCTCCTGTTCTGTTACCCCACACATCGTGCCCACTGCACCTTCCTCTCTTTCCAGCTGATACACCACATGTTGAAAGGTGGCAGATGGCTGGACAGGTTCAATTTCATAGGTCTTATTTTCAAATTGCAAGAGACCCCTAAGCCCCCCCGAGCACATGCTCAGAGTGACCAAAGAGTGACGTTTGCCCTGTAAGAAACCATTGTAGAAACAGTCACCCCTGATGAAAGGGTAGTCAAGCTGGAGGTCCCCATTCTTACTGTAGCTGAAGACCGGGAAATGTTTAGGAACAAAACCCTTCTTCTGCATGAGGTGCACTATATGAGCCTTCCCCTCAATTTGCAGTAGGTAGTTGACATCCCAATTTTCTTCTTGTCCGTACTTGGGCGTAAGTCTCCTTGGAATGGTCACCTCATACGATGCATATTTAAAACCCAGAGGCAGTTTTTGAGCAGCCATCTCTCCAAGGGCACCTTGTAAGAACAGTAGCACCAGCTGTACAACATGATGCATCATTTTCTGGTTCAGAGAAAATAATCCTTCAGAGCACCGCAGCCCCTCTGATGTCTTGGGCTAGTCAGAGTAGCCCTCTACACCTGTTGGCAGGCCAGGAACAAATAGGAAGGAGGGAAGGCAGGCTTAGAGGAGATTCTGTCTGTAGCAACTGTCAGTGGGGTTCTCTTTGGAATGGTGGGGGGTTGGTGAGGCAGGGTCCTAACAACATGGGAGGAGAAGGGCAAAGGAAGTCCCAAGAAGAAAGTGCAAGAGCAAGTGCTGGCAGAAAGCACGACAAGAAGAAGTGGCAGGTGTGATGGGAACGTGAGGCGCAGAGGTCAGGGAAACAGACGATCATCCAAGGGAGACAGTGGTAGAGTGGAGATGTGAGGTATACATTTAGATAAGGCATCATTGGGCTTAGTACTAATATACAGGCGTATTTGTTTTCATGCTTGTGTTGCCAATTGCGGCAGCCCAAAACACCCCAAAGGTAATTGGCCAGAGGAAGGCCCCAAAAGTAGTTGGCCACAGGAAGGCCACATAGTAAAAACACCACAGTTATACTGTCCCAGAAGGGAGGGCGGATAAGAACAAAATGAACTTTGCGTAACCCACAGCTAACACACTAGCCTGACCTCGAATACAGTAATCAAAGGGACAGTGGAAACTGGTTCTAGCCACCACGAAAGTTGCAAATGTGCAGGGAGTAAGAACATGCCAAGCCTGTGTGAATCTGGAGCAGATAAGAAATAGACATGGGAAATGTCTGGTCCTTGACAGAAGACGAGACTCTTTGAAGCTAACAGCAGTAGGGGGGGGGGGGGTGGCTACATTGATGTACTGACGCATTAGAAGTGTATTAGGTGACCTAATTGTTTCCTAGGGTATAAAACGCATGTACTGAGGTGCAACTTTTGAGACACTGCTTTGGGCTGAATGTCCCCTTTATTCTATAGTGCACTAGAATAAAGCTGGTTTTGGCTCTAAGTCTCATCTCAGGCTCCTTCTGACTTGGGTCTGGGGTCCACTCGGGTTGGCCCTAGCTAAGGCCATGCATAGGATTAAGAGCCTGCATGGTACAGTAGTTCAAATGTTGGACTGGGACGTAGGAGACCTGCATTCTAGTCAGCACTTTGCCACGAAACACACCAGGTGACTTAGGGCCACTGTTTCTCAACCTAATCCATCTCAAAGAGTGATTGTGAGAATAAATGAAGAGGAGGAGGGCCATGTGAGGCACCTGACATTCCTTCTAAGAGGAAAAGGGGAGAATATAAATGTATAAACAGGACTACCCCCTGCACAGAGGGGATGGGATGGAAGAAATAGTAGGAGCAGGTAAACTGCTGAGGCAACATCAAAGGCAGTTTGTTGCAGCTAACGTATGACAACTAGACTGTGTGGGCTTATTAATTTAAACACTTATCTCTTCAACACTGCCTTTCTCTCAAAACCTGTTTAACACACAGCAGAATAAAAGCATGAAGAAACCCCCTTCGATAAAATAACTAGAATATGCAAAACCATTGGTCTGTTTTGTGTAATATTTATTTACTATATCAGCAGGACTTCATGGTAAGCCAGAGACCAGAAAATTTGTTTTTTGTTTTTGTTTTTTAAAGGAAATGGGGGCAGACAATGCTAAGTATCAATCTGAAGACATGCTGAATTAATGAATAAAGTGCTTTGACCAAATTTTGAGGGAATATTTATTGATTGATTTGATTTATATGGCACCTGATTAGCCATAGGCTCTCTGGGCTGCTTACATACAAAGCTAATCGTTCTCTGAAATTCTGAGTTTTAGCAGACAAACAACTGTATCTAGATATAAAGTTTGTGGAAGAAGGTAATGGGATTTAAGTGTATATGTGAAGAATTCCTTGAGTTCAATTTCAATCTTAGACCAAACTGCAGGAAGCATAGCTAATACAGTTTTACCTGCGTGCTCTGATTTTGGACTAGATGTCGGTAAGCTTGTTGAACATGTTGTTCAAGTACTGCAGGAGGAGGTGGGGTTAAGCACAAATCAGGATGATCTATCCTCAGGGAACCTTTGTTCATTCTTCATTCCATAGATTTACCTTACTTTAAATAATATGAAAAGTGTAAGTGTTGTATGTAACACAGGTGACACAGTTAAAGCAATCATTATTTTTTCTGTGTGAGAACTCATATATAACATCCAATACTCAACATAGCATTGTTACTTGAAACACGCTGGCCTCAAAAAATCAAGGGCATCCATGTGTTTGCAGAAAATTACACCAGTTACTGTCTGACCACTCAAGAAATTGGCAGGATTGAGTAGCACTGAAACAAAACCACTTTTGTGCCACTCATACTATCACAGACTCATCTTATTGCTTGTCTTGTGATCTTAAGCAAGCATTCTTTGACACTTGAGCCAGTCAGCCAAGCTCTGCAACTGGTGAAGTTAGATGCAGTGGAAATTACCATAATCATACAAGAGTTGCTGGGAATAATGGAGCCGCACAAGGGAACTAGTCTGAAGACTTTTAGCACAATAATAGAGAAGCATTACAAACTGGCAGATTAAATAGATGTCTGTAATTTAAACAAACAAGGAACAGAAAAATATTGCCAAGCCCTCCCAACCAATCTACAGAATGGCAGCTCTACAACAGCCCATCTACATTTTCACCTGCACTTGCTTATTGCCACAATGAGTTCTCATTTCAGCGATGAAATCCAACTACATCCATCTCAGCTGTACCACACTGATGAAAAAGACTTTCAAGCCCATGCCAATTCCATTCAGGAACTTTACAAATCTGAAAATATTGGGAATGATATTCTCGCCTGCCACAGACCAGTGTGGGGGCCACCTGTGCTCTCCCCATGGTCTCCAACTCGACCTCGGTTGGCATTGCCATTTGTGGGAAAATGGCGGCACCATTGAGGATGACGGGGAGAGGAGAGATACTTCAAAGGAGCCGGCAAGGAGCAGGGAGCCAAGCCGACCCAGGTATTCCTCCTGGGTGGTATTTTGGATGTGTGGGGGATTGTGGCTATATCTTATTGATATTATTCATTGTATTATGTATAATATTGTGCAGTGGTACCTCAGCTCACGAACGCCTTGGTTCACGAACAATCGGGTCATGAACAAAAATTTCATTAAAATTTTGATGTGGTTTGCGAACACCACATTGGGTGGTGACCAAGATCGCAGCCATCTCCCCCCCTCCCCCCGAGTGGAGAGATGGCCATGATCTCAGTTGCTTTTGTGCAGGGAAGGCGTCCATGATCACAGGCATGCTCCTGCAGGAAAGACGGGCACAATCTGGGCCATCTGCCCGTGGCTGTGCTGTGCTGCGCCCTTCTTTCCTGCAGCAGTGTGCCTCTGATCATGCACACCTTCCCTGCACAAAAGCAACTGCAATCGCGGCCATCTCCCCACCCCCACCCCCAAGTGGAGAGATGGCCACAATCGCAGTTGCTTTCATGCAGGGAAGGCATGTGTGATCACGCATCAGTGTAGCCACACCCCCCCACTGCTGTTAGCTGCAAAGAGTCTTGTCTTCTGTCAGGACCAGACATTTCCCATGTCTATTTCTTATCTGCTCCAGATTCACACAGACTTGCCATGTTCTTACTCCCTGCACATTTGCAACTTTCGTGGTGGCTAGAACCAGTTTCCACTGTCCCTTTGATTACTGTATTCGAGGTCAGGCTAGCGTGTTAGCTGTGGGTTACACAAAGTTCATTTTGTTCTTATCTGCCCTCCCTTCTGGGACAGTATAACTGTGGTGTTTTTGACCCACTCTGCATTATGTTTTCCTTTAATGTTCTGGACAGACAAGCATTAGCCAACAACAAGCCTGCCTGGTTACAGACCTTCTGTCTGGCATTCACTGCAACCAAGACAGATTCTGTGTAAAAAGTGTGAAATTCAGCCCTAGGGATTTTTAATTTAATTCAAAGGGAAATTTTATAGTCCCTGGGTAAGCCTCCTGGGGACCACAGGATGGCTTGGATTCCTTCCTCCAGCAACTCCGAGGTTGAAGACTGCACTCTGTCCTTGGAAGCAAGTGTTAGAAATCTGCTTCCTCAGAACCAGCACAGACAGACCCAGCTGGCTGCATCTCCTCCCACCCTGCTGGATTTGGAAGCCTCCGGGACTGGGGGCTTCTGCAGAGTTGCTGGGAATGCAGTCTCCGAGTCCTATGGCACTGCTGCTTGATGAACACATTTAAGCTGTGTGTCTCTCTAGTGCTCTGCTATGTTACTGTTCAATGGAGAAATTAAACAATTTGTTCAGAGTGAGTTCTGAAATGTATAGTTCCATACAGTACACTGAATCACCAACAGGCCCACCCCACCCTTCTTTCTTGTTACTACTGCTCAGCAGCATGTAATTTTGTTTTTTAGATGCATTAATTGCATCTAATTGCAATGTGTCTCTACCTGAAGCTTGCAATACGTGTTCAGCCCCTAGGGCCAGTCTTCCTTAGCCAGTGCCTAGTTTTGCAGTCAATGCCAGGAGCGATTAGTGGGCAAAGCTGCAGGAGAATGCAAAGCACAGACCCCTTCCTCAGGAGGCTATGGGGGTGCATGATAAGAGGGGCCATGGGTGCCAGCAGGTATACCTTATTCAGAGGAAGTGGTTCCAACTCTTGAAGGCTCTCCTATACCAGAATAAGAATTATCCCCAGAGAGGTCCGCCTGGCGCCGTCGTTATTTGTTTTTCGGCGCCAGGCTAAGACCTTTTTATTTAAGCAACATTTTAAATGCTAAATACAATTGAATTTTATCTGGCCAGGGCGGCTTATTTTATAATGTGTGTTTTAATTAAGATTATTTTATATGGATATTTTAACTTATTGTTTTATCTATGTTGTAAGCCGCCCCGAGGCTTCGGCGAATGGGGCGGCATAAAAATGTTTTAATAAATAAATAAATAAAATTCCAACCTTTAAGAATCAAGCTTCACTGAATAGCGTTTTTGTAAACTAATATGCCTAGGAGACAATCCCATAAAAACCAGCTTTAAAAATAAATTAAAAGCTTGCAAACTCGATTATATTTTTGCACAGTAGTGTCATCGGCTTTGGAATTATTTTTGTTTTGATTGCGCAGGAGCGGATGCTTCTGATCTTCCCAAGTACAGCATTAGTTTATGTCTGCCATACGCATAAAAGCAAAGCCCAGCTGCTCGAAGTAAAAACAGACTTCCTACTGTCTGTATGCCTGTGGGCCTCTGGCTCCTCCCACGTTTATTTATTTATTTATTTATTAAAACATTTTTATGCCACCCCATTCGCCTAAGCCTCGGGGCAGCTTACAACAATAAGTTAAAATAATTATAATATAAATCAAAAATATAAACATTAAATTAAAAAAAAGAAATACAGTATAAAATAAGCCACCCTGGCCAGATAAAATCCAATAATATTAACAGTTAAAATGCCGCTTGAATAAAAAGGGCTTTGCTTGGCGCCGAAAAACAAATAACGACGGCGCCAGGTGGACCTCTCTGGGGAGCGCGTTCCATAACTTAGGCGCCACCGCAGAGAAAGCCCTCCTCTGAGTACCCACCCTCCTAATTACTTTCACGTTCCTTGTATTCGCAGTGAGCCACTGTGGGATTAAGGAAGGAGGCCTCCATTGTCACTGTAAACAATTGCTCTGGACTGAGGAACAGCATTCCCTTGGAAAGGTACTAAGATGTATCCACCAGGAAAGGCTGGAACAGACTGCTGTGGACGTCTGCAAGTGCTTCAATGGGTAGTTGACTGCTGGGTTGAAAGAATGAATGAACCACAGCTGAAGTGGTTGCTTCTGGAGCCAGGCCAAAGGAAGTACTGACATAGTCACTGCCACAAGAAACAAGGAGCCATTGAATTTGGAGAGCCAAAACAATGTGTTGCTGTTGAAGTTGGGAGGCTCTCTCGATCAGTGCTGCTGCCCTTGAGTTTGGGAGATATGCTGCCACTTGGGTGGAGTCTGTGCATGCCCCAGTGAAAAGAGAGGACTGGGAAGGGGAAAGAGCAGGTATTCTGAGTGTATGTGAAGACCCAGTCTGTCCACCAGATGGCACATGGTCTGAGTCACAGCAAGCAGTTCTGTCCTGGTTGGAGCAGCCAACAACTAGTCATCCACTGAATACTGAATTCTGTGCTGATGAAAATGGGCACACACCGTGGCCATACACTTCATAAAAGCCCTGAGGAGAGGAGAGAGTCCAAAAGGTTAAACAGAAAATTGGAACATTTCTCTCCTGCCTTGGATATGAAGGAAATGTCTATGGCAAGGTGCAATGGAGATGTGGAAATAAGCATCCCTGAGATCAATGGATGCAAACCATTCTCCATGCTGGAGAATGGGGAGAATCCCTTGCAAGTGACCATCCAGAACTTTTTAGGAGGGATAAAAAGTTAAGATCTCTCAGGTTCAGGATTGGCCAAAGCCCTCCATCCCTTTTCAGTATAGTGAAGTATCATGAGGAAAACAGTGAACAGAAGCAATCAGAATTTGTGCTATCTCCTTCTTTGATAGGAGTGAATGAATCTCTTCCAAGAATGTTGGAGATACTGGTGTTGCATGCATAGAGCCAATGGGTGGGAGGGCATCAAATTTGATCCTTGTAACCTCCCTGGATGTTAGACAGCACCTCGTTGTCCGATGTAACTGCCTGCCACACACTCAAATGAGGAGAGAGATGGTCCTGAAAATTAAAATTAGAGGGGGTGATAAGAAGGTATGCAAGGGGCAGCTCTTAAAACAGGCACTGCCTCCCTCTCCTGTCCCTATCTGCCAGCCTGTGACCTTGGCAGTACTTGGAGGCATTGTCTTCCTCCTCTGAAATGTTGGGGATGATGTTGCGCCCTGTCCATTTGGGGGCAGAGAAAGAAGGAACTTCTCTGCCCAAACCACTTACGTGTGTAAGAGGGGCTCCCATGGGCAGCTCCGCAGTCAGTGGCTCCGTGTGGTTTTGATACCGAAAGGTCCTTTGATCACCCCTCCACCATGCAGGAGTGGGAAAATGCTCTGAGGAAATAACAGGGAAGAGAAAGAACTTCCCAAGAAACTGTAGGCGATCGAAGAAGAACTGAGGGAAATGGCGGGAGCTACTCCTCTTTATACAGGTGCTGGTGGGGAGGCATTCCTGCCAAAACACTGTCAGCTATTAAACCTTCCCGGCAAGGAACTCCACGCAGGCACAGAGCCCATCTGTGTGATGCACAGAGACCACAAAGAACTTTGAAGCTTCAGAGGAACCTATATATACTAGAAATGTACTTACTGCTTGTAACCTCATTCCCTTGTCATTTATTTACAAATGGAGGGAGCTGATTCCTCCCTCCCATTTTCCATGACTGTTTATTGTCTAAAAGAGCTCAATGTGCAAACCTTACACTGAGATTTCTTCAGAAAGAACAATTCAAATATTAAAAGATTTCATATGCTCTGATGGAATTTTGTGGAGTGTCACACCCCTCCTATATTGTATAGACTTCACTATATATTTTGCTGTATATATAGGAAGAGACAGAGATAGAGGGAGAACATTTTGATATATTCTGTGTGTGTGTTCGCTATGCTTTCAGTGTGTAATTTGTGTCTCTTGTAGTTTAAATAATTAGTATTCTTATAGACTGTTGTATATAGATTATTGCTTTCATCATATCATGAATGTTTTTGTTTCTGTAATTATCAGTATCCTTTTTACAGGGCCTTTACTACAATGACATAAAATCACTGAAATAGCAAAAATCTGTATTCCACAACTGTTAGGGGATTTGATGGCAACATTATACCTGGACTGCCAGCACAAGTTGAGTATAGGAACTTGCTTATTCAAACAGCCTGAGTGTTTATGTTGGTTTTATTCAAATAAACTCATATTTGATGCAGACCTTTTCTTAGAAGGCATAATACTCTGGTGAGCTAAACCATGAACTGTCTGATATGGTTTCAGCATATATGAAGGGGTTTCATCTCTATTAATGAACCGCAGCTTTGGAAATGAATTACACTGAAAAACAGCTTTAAAAATAATGATAAAAACATCCACACTGAAATCCACTTGCATAATACTCTGCATTATCTCCTGGGTACATATTTGTTCATTTTTGAAAAATCTACTGTGCCCTTTCTTCCTGCATTGATTCACCTGGATGAAATCTTGCCCTCAATCTTCTAAACTGGTGTATAAGCCCATTGCTGTAATACACAGCCAGGCCTAAATTAACAACAGTAGCAGTAAGGAAATATACAGTTACTGCAATAATAGCTCCTCTGAAAAAAGTCGTGCGACGCTTCTGTGGTGGAGGGGGCCCACTGTCGATGCTGCCACCGTAGCCTTTGCTTAGGCAGTCTGGAGGTGCCCAGCCATAATCACAGTGGCAATGTTTCTGGGAGTTGCATATTCCCCGATTATGGCACTTTGTGACATCACAATCATACTTCAAGAAGGACACATTCTTGCATCGTCCATGAATGCACATCATGTCAGTGCCACAAGGAGTCCCATCCTTCACTGCTCCAATGTCAGCTATCTCCACCCCACTGTGATAGTCAATACCCCAGCATTGCTTGTTGTCAATGGCTGTTTGAACTACAGTATTGTGTTCCTCCAAAGAAGGAATGCTATGCACATTTTCACACTGGATTCGGCCACACAGGATATTCTTCATGTGACACTTGCTATAAGTTCCGTGTTTACGGCCACAGTTGCCAAAGCGATCACCTTGAGTGTTCACCTCTCTGAAGCAAGCTTCCGAACCAACAGTTGCTTTGCCACCAAAGATCATTTTGCACTGCCCACTGAGAGTAGTACACTTCCCGTGATAGCAGTGCGCACCGTCACTGCATGGGGCACCATCCTGTACGTGAACATCTTCAGGACACCACCCTGAAGTCCCGTTGCAGTACTCAGGAAGATCACAGTTGCCAGTCTTCTTTCTGCAAATGAACTGAGCTGAACGATACTGACAGTTCTCACAGCACTGTCCAGTATCACATACAGCACCTGGACGCAACATACAATTTGACTGACAACATAGGTCTGACTCACACTGAGTTTTTGAACCACAGTCACATTGCTCTCCATTTTCCACTACTTGGTTGCCACAGTATTTTAACTGATAAATTTTATCAGGATCTGGTGGAACTAACAAACAAGGTGTGTTCCTCTTTACAAAATACTGCTGGTAACTGCAATTGCTAAATTTATCAATGTTTGCCTGAAATGCAGCCATAATGCATGCTTTTGTACCACAATGGCAGTATTGTCCATCATGCCTCATGCCAAGAACATGTCCTAGTTCATGGGCAAATGTGTTAGAAATATGGAACAAACTGGAAGTCCTATATGATTCAACAGCAGATCCATAACGGTTATCACAAATTCCTCCTACATATGCTAATCCAAGTGCACTTCCGAAACTCTTATACACAAATAAGTTACTAGCATCATTGTTTAGACGTTTGAGCAATGAATTTGTTCTCCATGTATTGAAAAACGAAAGCGTGTCTTCTAGGCTCTCAGAAATTTCTATGAGGTTCTTTTCTGACCAGATCTCCAGACCTACTACAGACAACTGAAGAGAAAGTGGCTTATACATTGAATTTGTGGTATGGACAATATTCAGAACTTGTACAGCAATAAGAGTTTCATTTCTGCCAAATTTCACATATCTTTCATGTTCAACTACCATTGCAAGCTTTGCAAACCTGATGTGAGTCCATTTGTCTCTTTCAGAAGGAACATTCTCGGCTACTACATGTTCTGCCTTCTGGACCATGGAGTTTTGAAGACTTTGCCCTTGCTCTGTTAGCCCACATCTCATGAGAACTGTGTCTTCCCTTTGTTCCAACTGAAACACCACATGCTGAAAAGTAGCAGATGTCTCAACAGGTTCAATTTCATAAGTCTCATTTTCTAATCTCAAGAGTCCACTGAGTCCCCCTAGGCAAGTACTGATGGTGACAATATCTGAGGGCTTGCCTTGTACAAAGCCATGGTAAAAACAGTCATCTCTGATGAATGGATAGTCCACTTGGAGGTGCCCTTCCTTGCTGTAGGTGAAGATAGGGAATTGTTCAGGGACAAAGCCACTCTTCCGCTCAAGGTGTAGTATATACCTTTTCTCCCGAAGCTGCAGCAGATAGCTGGTATCCCATGGTTCTTGCGTTCCAAACCTGGGTGTCAGTTTCCTTGGGATTGTCACCTCATATGAGGCATATCTAAAACCCTGAGGCAATTTATGAGCAGCTGTCTCCACTACGATATTTCTCAAGAATATCATGAGTACCCATGAGAAACTGCTAGTCATTTTCCCAGATAGAAACAAAATCTTCGATGTACATTCACTTGCATCTCCTCAAAGTGAAGCCCCCTTGCAGCTGTTAGAAGTAGAGGAGAAGGAGGAAGACTGTGCATAGCAACAGTCTATGGGCTTCCTTTGGAATGGGGGTGGAGCTTGGAGGATCAAGAATGGAACAGAATGGCTAAGGAAGAGAAGGAGGGAGTCACTGGCTAAGAAGTGAATGGTTGAGAAATGACTGGCTACACGGGCTACCAGAAGATAGGAACATGCTCATCCTCACTATTGTATTAGGTACACTCCTAATATCTTGTCTCTGTAAATTGCAATGTGTCCTGGTAAGATGTTTCATGGGAAACCTATGATATAAAGGACCCCAAAACAGGTGCCAAATGCTGGTCTTTCTTTTGTGTAGGAAGAGGTGGGTTATTGCTCCTCTGCAATAGATGTGGCATCTCCGTATATATGCAAATTCCTTCCTCAACAGTTCCTCATGGCTTAGATTTGGCTAAGTCATAGATCTGGCTAGAGTTAAGCACCAGGTGGAAAAACAGCAAAATTTAATCTCTTTAGTCTTTACCCCTAAAGAGATTAAATTTTGTCAACCTTAGTAAAATTTAGGGACCTCTAGGTACACATTATTGTTCTTGAACTCTGCTTTTGCACACAACATCAATGGCAAGAACCTGAGGCTGATCCATATTCCTTTTCATTACTTGGACAGGGGGCAGGGAGACCTTTTTCTTCAACTAAGATTAAAATAAGATGAAATTCTATCTTTTAATGTGCTGCCCTTGAAGTTGTGTATCTTCTTTCCTTCCCTTGCCACTGAGAGTTTAATTTCACGGATCTGGATGGTAGCGGTGGTGGGTAATTTCCTAGAAAATCAGGCCTCAAAGGAGTTTACCAAGTCATGGTTGGCCTTCAGCTGTCCATCCTTGCCCTACTTTGCAGGAAACAAGTATTCTTTGAAGCAGAGCCAGCTGCTGAGTTGTAGAACAGATGCAGGCCATTTTTTTCCTTCTGCCCATCTATAGTGCCACATCACTACAGCAGTTCCAGTCGTGCATGCGTACAACACACATACAATTACTTGTGTTAGTGCATAATTTTGGATAACCACCATGTCAAACAAAAGCCCTTCAATGACACTTCCCCCATAATGTATTTTTCAAAAGTATTCCTCTCTAACAAATGATACTGGATATTGCTCTTGTCTGATTATCTTACTAGAGCAGGTAACTGTAGTTGCTGTGTGCTGTCAAGTCATCTCTGTCTTAGGGCAATTCTGTGAGTGAATGCCCTCCAAAATAATATCAATTCATAGTAGCCCTGCTCAGTTCTTCTAAATTCAAGGCTGTCGCTTTGTGGATTCCATTCATCTCTTATTTGGTCTTCCTTTTATTCTTCTGCCTTCAGCTTTCACTAGCACGATTGTCCTTTATAGGGGCTATCTAATGATCCCATTGCAGAGGAGGAGGGAAGGAGACTAGAGCAGTTACTCCAGTCTCCTTTCCTCCTCTGAAATGTGCCCCTTATCCCCTCTCCACGGTCACTTTCCTGACCTCAGAGGGCAAGCAGCGTGGTCCTTGCCATGCCAGCTGGGGGGACAAAACAGGAGGATCAGAGTTTCGATTCCTAGCTCTGAGGAATTAATACCTGTTTTACAGTTTCCTCTAAAGTTTTGTCTAGTTTCTGCTTTCAAAGTCAAACATGACTATGTTAGATCCCTTTGACAATCTTCCTCTTAAATAAATATATTAAATCTGACAGCGCTGTGGTATCTTCTGGATAGGCTAGCGGGATTGAGGGTTGGAGGCACTGCTTTGCAATGGTTCCGCTCCTATCTCAACGGTCGATTCCAGAAGGTAGTGCTGGGGGACCATGTCTCTGCGCCATGGCAGCTATGCCATGGAGTACCACAGGGCTCCATTCTATCCCCTCTGCTATTTAACATCTATATGAAACCGCTGGGAGAGGTCATCAGGAGGTGTGGGCTGCGGAATCATCAATACGCTGATGATACCCAGCTCTACCTCTCGTTTTCCACTAATCCAGGTGAGGCAGTGGCTGTGCTGAACCGGTGCTTGGCCGAGGTAATGGAATGGATGAGGGCCAATAAACTGAAACTCAACCCAGACAAGACGGAGGTCCTGTTGGTTGGCGGATCGGGCTTCGGAGAGGGTGGATTTGACCTGGTCCTGAATGGTGCAACACTCCCTCTTAGGGATAAGGTCCGCAGCTTAGGAGTACTCCTCGACCCGGAGCTTTCTTTGGAAGCTCAGGTGACAGCGGGGGCGAGGAGCGCCTTCCTTCAGCTTCGGCTGATTAATCAGCTGCGCCCCTACCTGGAGTTCGACTGCCTGGTGACGGTGACACACGCGCTGGTGACTTCCCGCCTAGACTTCTGTAACGCGCTTTATGTGGGGCTTCCCCTGAAGACGGTCCGAACACTTCAATTGGTGCAAAATAGAGCTGCCAGGTTGCTGACGGGGACGGGGCGTTATGCTCACATGACTCCAGTCCTCCGTCAGCTTCACTGGCTGCCCATTGAAGCCCGGGCCCAATTCAAGGTGTTGATTATGACCTATAAAGCCCTAAACGGCTTGGGTCCGGGCTACCTGAACGAGTGCTTACGTCCGTATATGCCCGACCGCCCCTTGAGATCTGTGGGAGAGTCCCTTCTCCGGGAACCCTCCATGAAAGAAATTAGGAGAGTAAGTACTCGGAGGAGGGTTTTCTCTGCGGTGGCGCTCAACCTATGGAATTCACTCCCCAAAGAGGTCCGCCTGGCACCGTCGTTACTGGTTTTTCGGCGCCAGGTAAAGACCTTTTTATTTAAACATCATTTTAATTGTTAAAATATATGATCTGGCCAGGGCAACTTCTTCTTCCTTCTCTTTTCTCCTCCTATATTATTTATTTACTTATTTTATACTGATAATTTTAATTTTATATTATTATGTTTGTAACTCAATGTATTTTTTGTATTTTTGTATTTAATGGTAATTTATTATGTGCTATTGTATTTCAATGTATTTTATTGTGTTGTAAGCCGCCCCGAGGCTTCGGCAAGGGGCGGCATACAAATGTTATAACAACAACAGCAACAACAACAACAACAACAACAACAACTGTTTCCAGTTGGTTTAACAATATTGACATCTTGTACTAGCTTCTGGGAAAACTCACCAAGAATTAAATTCAGAATTGCCTCCCTTCTGGGCAGTTCCATGGACACCTGTTCCAGGGCATAGTTGTGAAGGAGTCTGCACTTTGTAGGTTTTTTAGTCTGGTGAACTTTATGCCCTCTTTGACCCAGAGAACAATACTACCTCTGAAACACCCTGTTTCCTTTTATAGCTTTTATATCCAGAGATGATCATATCTCAATGGTATGCTCTGTTTTACTAGGTTTCTATAATGACTACAATATCTAAGTCCTTCTGTAAAACACAGAACTATTTTGGCTCAAAGGCTTATAGCATTTGCATAGAAACACAAATATATGGATTCTATTCAAATACTGCCAGATTTCTCAGTCATGTGCATTTTCTGTTTGGCACTTAGGACTCTTTGGCTATCATGTTTCACCATATGCTCATAACTTCTTTCCTTTCCTTCTAAAGTTGTGCAATCACACTTTTCCATTTTTACCCTTTAGGGGAAATTTAACTCAAACCAGGTGCTTGTCAGCTCCTATCAGCTTTCCCCAGGGTTCAGGTTAAAAGAGTCTCTGCTACTTTCTATCTGTTTTGCCTCAGCAATCAGACTCCATTTTGGCTCAAGTGGAGCCTGTCCTTTTTGTACAGGCCCAGCTTTCCCAAAATGTGCCCCAGTGCCTAACAAAGCTGGTCCTTCCTTTCTGCACCATCATGCCAGCCATGCACTGGGACTCCCCACCTTCGCCATCACCATCGGTTCCTTTTGCACAAAGCACATACGGCAACAAGCTTCTGCCAACGAATCCTATCCATGGCAGCGTCTTCAGCATCTTCCTGTTCGATGTCCACTGTCTGTAAGTCATCTTTTAATGTCTGACACCAAGTTTTGCATGGTCTACCCCACCTCCACTTTCCCTCTGGTGCCTCCCATCATACAGCATTATTCGGGTATCAATATTCTGGCAAGCGAAGAATATGACCAGCTAGACACATTCAATGTTCTGTCTCAACAGCCTGCAATTTCCTGGATGCGCTCCGCTGCAAAATTTCCTTGCTGGTGACACAGTTGCACCAAGTGACACCCAGAATTCGCCATAGGCAACACTGTTGGAACACATGGGGCTTTTGTGCTGTTATTGCCCATGTTTTCTACCCCCAAACTGGATTCCTCGCACATCCCTGTGTGAATGCCCCAGGAAGATTTTGGCCCATTACCTCAAGCTACGAAAATATTAGAATATAACTTTTGTTGTCAGAACAACTGTAAATCTAACCTAAAAAAAGTAAATTCACAAATGTAAAAATTTTTATTCTGAATTGTATACTGCCTATTGTGATATATGCTTTCCCATGTTAATCTTCTCCGTTACTTAGTTGACAAAGGCAGTCCTTATTGGCACCTTCGCATATTGAGGAAATTATAAAAGCTATAACTAATAGCAAAATGTGGAAATCACCTGGTCCAGATGAATTTCCAACTGAATATTGCAAAACATTTTCCTAACATTTTAGTTCCCAAGCTTTATTTCTACTTTCTTTTGAATAAGGTTCTCAGTACTTAACAATGTTAATACTCTCATAATTCCTAAAGCTTATAGAGATCATATTTACTGTGTTAATTATTGACCTATATCTTTGATTAATCTCAGCATTAAAATAATAACTGTAACATTGGCTGATATACTACAATAATTTTAGCACTATGATGAAGCTCCATGGAATGGAAACTCATCTTCAGTTTGTGGACTTCTTCTTATGCTTGCCCTGTCTTAGAAAGCAAACTGAGCTGAAGTCCACAGATGCTTGTGATACACTGGTTATGCAACCAGCAACCTTTTGTGTAGC